CAACGAAGACACACTCAATGCGCTACTACAAGCAACAGCATCTAAAGTCGGCCCAATGACTGTACGACATTCACCGTCCTACAGCAGCAACAGTCAAGGAAGCGTTGAGCGACTACATAGAACACTCCTCGGACAAATCTGCGTCGTCAAAGCTCAGGTTGAAAGCAACTACAGCATGACGATGTCCACAAAGCACTGTCTACTACCTTGGATAGCTACCTTGGATAGTACGACATGCAGCATGGACGGTAAATCGCTACGTCATCCACTCAGACGGCTACACAAGCTTTGAACGCCGCTGGGGAAGAAACTACGAGCGAGCAATCTGCGAATTTGGCGAGACACTACTCTACCTTCCACCACAACACAAGAAACTCCCAAAAGCAGACCTACGGATGCAGAAATGCATCTGGCTCGGAAAAGTTTCCGAAACCGGAGAAAACTACGTCGCAACGGAATCAGGCGTACAAAAGGTACGAACAGTGCGGAGACTACAACCGGACTTCAAATACGACCTCGCACTATTGAACAAAGTTTCCGGCACACCGTGGGCACCACGACGGAACACCTACAACCCATCGTTCGCAACACTGTTGGATGCGCAACTACCACCGTCAGAGAAAAGAAGGTCCACGCAAGATTTCGGACAACAAACGAACGCTACGGACGACATCGTTGCGGAACCCGCAACAAAACAACAACGCACTACACCACCTCCACGACTTCCGTCAACATCGACGTCAAGTTCACGACCACTACCGGATAGTCCGATGGCTACTTCACCAACCGGACGACAACATCCACCACTACCAGCACCACCTCGACAAACACTACGACGTTTAACTCCGGAAGAAGTAATGCAACCAACTAAAGCACAGAAGACCTCAAAGGACACTACAATCAGATCAACGGAGCAAGCAACCAAAGAACCACCACCACTACGACAGAAAATCAACGCAGTGACACTTCCCAACGGCAAATCCATCACCCCCTACACAAACGACGACACTTCAGAAGACCAACCCATAATCTTCGACAACGAAGGTTACGACGAAACACAACTACTGGAAGAATGAAACACGAGTCAAACCAAATGAAGCTACATGACGTCTACGACGAAGTAGATGCGTCTACCGTCGTCGACAACGTCATCAGAGAAGCGATACCTACAAGATGGGTACACAGAAAGAAAGGACCAGGAGTACGAAGCCGAATCGTCGCAAAAGGCTACACAGAGAAGATCGAGGACGAAGATTCCGTCTACGCCTCTACACCAATGTTCACGACACTCCGGACACTTCTCGCACTACAAATGTCACGACCAAACTGGATCGCGCGACTAGGTGACGTCTCTACAGCATTTCTACACGCACCCATCGCAAAAGACAACGACGGTAAACAACGTGACGTCTACCTTTGGCCACCTAAAAAACTTTGTCCACAACAGGACAAAATCTGGCGACTAAAGAAAGCCATGTATGGACTACGCAGTTCACCAAAAGCATGGCAGGACTACCTGGCTGAAGTGTTACAAAAGCTCAGCTTTGTAAGGCTAAAGTCAGAACCTAACGTCTACACCAATGCGACTCGCGACTGCTACATCATGGTCTACGTGGATGACCTCTTGGTACTTGGTGACAAGACTACTGTCGACTCCACCTTCGAGGCCATCCGGAAGCAGGTCCTACTCAAGCACATCGGCTACCTCGAACCTGGCAAACCACAACAATTTCTTGGAAGAAACATCGACCACTTTGGCAACTACTGCAACCTTGGACTAAAGGACTCCTACATCGACAACATTATCGAGGAGTCTGGAATGAACAACTGCAACTCAGTGAACACTCCAGGAATTGCACACTACAAACCAACAATAGAAGATGAAGCACTACTTGACCACGAACAACACAAAAGGTACAGAAGGATTGTTGGCAAACTTCAATGGTTGGCATACACACGACCAGACATTGCATACTCCACAAAAGAACTAGCACGAGACCTCACAGCACCTACAGAACTTTCACAAAAGAGAGTCAAACATCTACTACGCTACTTGCACGGCACCAAGCACTACAAATTCACCATAGAACCAACAACAACACTCAGAGCAAACACCAACAACATCCTGGATCTCGACGTTCATGTCGATGCCGACTGGGCAGGATGCCCTACTACCAGGAAATCAACTTCAGGTTTCAACATCATCTTTTTAGGAACAACAGTTGCATTTGGCAGCAGAACACAAGCTACAATAGCACTCAGCTCAGCAGAGTCTGAACTCTACGCCATTTGCACAGGAGTTAATGAGGGACTACACCTCAGAAATTTCCTACTTGAAACCAACATTTGCAGCAAGCTAAACCTACGCATCCACACAGACTCCACAGCAGGCAAGAGCATTGCTACACGACAAGGCACTAGCAAACGAGCAAACACATCGACCTTAAATTTCTCTACGCACAAGACCTCATCAAGCACGACATCATCAGAATCCTCAAAATCAACACACTACACAACAGCTCAGACTGTTCACAAAATACATCAGCAAAGAAACACTACAGAGGCTCATACAGAGCATTGGCATACGCGTTTAGCACTACGAACAACAACTGTTTCACAACTGTTTCACATCAACCACAACAGTTTTTCTCTACGCACAAGACCTCATCAAGCACGACATCATCAGAATCCTCAAAATCAACACACTACACAACAGCTCAGACTTGTTCACAAAATACATCAGCAAAGAAACACTACAGAGGCTCATACAGAGCATTGGCATACGCGTTTAGCACTACGAACAACAACTGTTTCACAACTGTTTCACATCAACCACAACAGTTTGTATATGGCCATATGTAACTACTTGCATGTAAGTAACAGTAACAGTAACGGTAACTACAAGTCACAGTAATTGTAACCACCAGAAATTTGCACTTGCACGTTTGGCGGCTTTTGGCGGCTTGGGACAACATTACATGTTGTTTTGTTTTACTACATGCCCGCATGTGCTTTTGTGAGCTAACATTGGCTCACTACTGTCTGCCCCGTTTCACTGCATCTCGATAGGCCGAACTACCAGCAATGGCTGGAACTACGCCCATGGATGCGACTACGCTGAATGTCATGCCGATGGAGGTTACTACATCAGCTCCAGAGGCTACTCTGCCCGTCGAACAACAGGCTGGCATCACTACACCGGACCGTGTTTCCACACCACCAGATCGACAGAATACTACCGACTCCAGCAGCATGGCCACTTTGGCCACACCACCACCTGAGGCACACAACGCCCTCAACTACAACTTCAATCACCAACTACCCACACCTGCACCCGACGACATTTTGGCACATCTCACGACTGTTGAGAACAACATCCCCGACACTCCAGCGATCGACCCGGCACAGAACAACTTCAGGGTCTACGTGGCTTTGACGCTAGAGGAATTTCAACTACTCAGTCAACAACAAACTACGCCCATTCCCGAGCTCAACTACAACCTACCAATTCACGACCTACCCTCAGACATTCGGATGCCAATTTACGACTCACTACCTCTTCACCTACGTCTTTCAGAGGCAGTCAACTTCTACTACTACAACCTGACATCACTACACCTCACAACCCAGTACATCAACTCGATGGTCATTGTCCAACTACACCTTCCACAAGAAGTTCTACTACGATAACTTCTCCCGCGACTACGTGAGCCACATGATCTCCATCACCGACAAGCACCACCTTCCTACACGCCAACTACATCAACGACTACACCGAATCAGCTAAGATTTGGACCAAATCACCACTACATTCAACCTATCCAACAACTTCATTTGGACTACCACATGCCCTTGTACCTACCCGAACTACTCAACTACTTCGACCAACCACAACAACTTCAAGACCACCACTACAAGTCCATCAACACGATTCTACACAAAAGTGCCACCTACTACGGCATCACCCTACTCACGGCTACGAATCTTTCCACGCAACACAAACTACTACTCCACAACTTTCTCACTACAACCGGCCAAGCACTTGCACCACCGGAGTGCGACTACAACCGTCTCCGTGGCGGACCAGACTTCCTCAACACATTCACTACCAACCGCATCGGCCAAGTCCAGAACTACCGAGTCCACCACTGGACTAAGCACACCTGATCTACAGGTGGAACTACAACTACTTGCTGTACTACGTCATCGTACTACGAGATGACTGAGAGCCACTTAGGGTTCTTGTACAGCACCTTCACATTTGATCATTTGAAGGTTAGTTGAACTACAGACAGCAGCGCTGTAGACACCTACCTTCGGTCATTTTTTAAAAGACTACATGCCTGTTCGCTACAGTAGCATCGGCAAACAACATGTGCATTCGTTTTTGCCACAAATATCATGCTGCACTACTTGTCCCTTGTGCATGCATGATGTACACTACCCGACCGCAGGCCTTGAGTCTACCAGGAAAAGAGTGCATGCTGGCTAACTACATTTGCGTTTGTGACAACATAAACAACACCTGCACTTGTAGTAAAGTATCGACGTATTTAACGGGAGAGAGAGAGAGAGAGAGAGAGCGAGAGAGAGAGAGAGAGAGAGAGACGGAGAGAAAAAAATGATATTCATCGGACTGTTGCAGCCTCTTTTGGATATGCGTGGTGTAACTGTTGCATCTACCCACCAAACATGCTGCCCATCCAATGAACTCTTGCCTCCGCCCCGGGCTGCTCATTCAAAACGCACCTTCTGCTTCAAGTTCCTGTTTGGATGCATCTGCGCTGGCCGTGTCATTTCTTTGCCAGGATGTCTGTCTTACCTTCCATGGTGCAGATTCCGATTTCGAAAAGGCGACCTTATAAATGTTGACAAACGGTATACCAGTATATTACTCTTATACCAAATGTGCGCATATCTATGTATACATATATATATATGTAGGTGTTATACATTTTGTTTGAAATCATTCCCGACTAGATTCACTCAGCTGTCTGCGCAGGAGATGTTCCGCAAGGCCAAGGAAGTAAAGCTGGATGGCTCGGGGCCGACGCCCAGCGTGGGGGCTGTCACGGCCGCGTGGCCTGATCGATCGGGTGTCTGGAAGAGCCGGGCCATGGGAGAAGAAATCGGCAAGGTTTTGGTGCAGCTTTGGGGTAGCTTCTGCGTAGCTCTTGCGTAAGATGAATGTTCGGTCTACCGTAGGCAGGTGACCACTGAGTGGCCCTGTGGGCCAATCGGATTGGAGACTTGATCGAGACAGCGACACGAGCGACACGAGCGCTGAGGCCATGACGGTTAGCCCTTCCGAGGACTGAGTGCAACGCACCAAATGCCAAGTGGATGGGGGGTCCTCAGGAAAAATGGCAGTCTGTTTGTATTGTGTAATTAGCTCAAGACTTGTGCCACCTGGTTTGCAGGAAACCGTCGCCATAGCTACTGGAGGCAACCAGCTGCTGACGCAACTTGGCTGCAGCATTGGCCGCAGCATTGCGGATGGTGGGCATTTGGGGTGGGGGAAGTTGTTTTCCACGGTGCTTGTCTGCTCGGCAAAGGGCAGACAACTCTGGCATGTTCGATTCGTACGATCAAGCCAGGTTTTCACTGAGCCCCACGGACCTTATCAAGGCGGAAGACAGTGCAGTGGAGCACGCTTTGACGTCGTTTCACTCTGGGCCACGACCTGAGCGCTTGACTTCAAAAGCGGCCAACGCACTCAGAGACTCATAGCCAAAGCGACTTTGATCTTAATAGGTTTCAACGTGCGACCGAGTCCAATCTTCGGCCTGGATGTGTGCGTGCGCAAGCCGCTGGTTGTCACCTGCGGCTGCTTGGCAATGGATCGACACCCCCCAAGTTGCAAGCAAAGGAAGCCTGAGGCTTCCGTGGAATTTGGTAGACTGTCTTGCAATGAAGGCACCGACAAAACAGTTCGGATCTGGAATTTTGTCGACAAGACGCTGGAGCTATGCAAAGTCTTCAACGAGGAGGGGCTTTCCTTGCATTGTCCTGGTTTACGCGCATTGGCTCAGTTCCGTGCTTTGCGAGGAAGCCTTTTCAGTCGCCTTCCACCCAAGCCACTTGAATTTATTATTGCTTTTTTCCGCATGCGTCATGCCGCAGGGTATTGAATTAGTGGTGTTGCATTGTACGCTCTCTTTGCTTGGTGGACAGACAAGGCGGGTTTCACTTGATCGTGGGCTTTGCAGACAAAGTGCGTTTGATGAACCTGCTCATGGAGGATTTCAGAACCTACAAAGAGATTCCAATCAAGGCTACCGATTTGCAATTGCCCTCTTGCGTTTTGCTCTTGGGAAGCCCAGACTGTTGCGAGGCTTGCCGCGAGTGCCGCTTTAGCCATGGCGGGCAGTTCTTTGCAGCAGTGAATTCAAACACCATCCAGGCGCTCTGCGCGCGTGCCTGATGGCTCTGGCCGGCTTTCGTTGCATGCCAGGTGTACAAGACCTACACCTGCGAGGTAGTTTGCAATTTGCGTGGTCATCAGTCCAAGGTGGGTTGGGTTCATTGAGATGTGTTGTGCAGTGCATTGCCTGCGACGGGCTCAGGTGAAGGCAGTGTGCTGGACCACAGATGACTTCAAGCTAGTGTCCACTGGGCAAGATGGAGCCACCTATGAGTATGACATCCTCAAAGAAGGCCGCCGAGTATCTGCCGCGCGGCTGCATTTAAATGGTGGCCGGTGTTGCCCTGCCATTGAAGATTTGTTTGGCTAAGTCTTGCCGCTTCGAGGAATGGTCGCAGAAAGGCACCAACTTCACCAGCACCGGGGCTGTCCAAGAGCGAAAGAGTTCAGGCACTCTCTTTCTGACGCTACACCAAGGCATCATTGCATACACAAACCCTGAAGCTGCACAGCAGTCGACGACGCTGTTTGTAGCGGGATCTGACAAGATGCTGAAGGAGGCTAGCGCAAGCATTTGCATCAGACTTATGCCATAAGCATTTGCTTGCATGTACTTTGTGAACCCGCCATGAATCCTTGAGGTGCAGAACTCGCAGCTGAACAATTACTTGGAGTCCAACGCCACTCTGGGACAGCTGGCGCTTGCGCCAACTGCACGTGCGCTAATCGCAGGAGTGGCCGAGCCATGTGCCTAGCGGAGCACTCACTTTTCCGCCCCTTGCTCAAGCCCTGGCCGAGGCCAGACATGCCGGGCTCCTTGCGCTGCTACACCTTTCCCTTGACTGGGGACTACGTGGAGTACCAGGCCGTGCCTTCGATGTGTGAGCTGAGATGTCAAGACGGTTAGGCACACGCGGCTCCTGTCTCCCGGATCCGGATCGCATGGGATGAGTCCCCTGCAAAGCACTGGCAGCTCTAAGAGCCTTATTACATTGCTCTCGGCTGTTTTAGGACACAAACTTGGCTGGATGCAGCCTAGGCTGTACTTGTTCAGCACCGGCGACGACGGCTGCCTTTGCATCTTCGACATTAAGAAAACGGGACCCTGCAAACGAGACAAGGCCTGCCTGTCAGAGATGGCATGACTGGCTCCCGCCATCTTGTGCCATTCTCGGAAGTGTCGCCATTGCCAGGACTCGGGCCTTGGATATGCCGACGAGATCCTGGTGACGCGGCAATTCCTGGACGAGAAGCAAGCCGTGCTGCTGGAGTTGGAGCGGAAGGCATGCAATACTGAAGTGCCAGATGGCGAGTCTTCAGCAGGAAGTAGAGCACCCCATGTGATGTGCAGGTTGAGGAGTTGGACAGCCGCATCGCCTTCCAGCTGAGACACCGGGACGGCCTCCACAAGGAGAAGATGGCGGAGATGCAGGAGAAGTACAGCTGGAGCCTCAGGCAAGTTTTCCTGCGAGTGGTTTTCTGGTTTTGTGTTTGATTATTTTTTTGTTTTTGTCTGGCGCCAAGGCGAAGAGATTGAGACGGAGCGGAGGAAGTTCGAGGTGCTTCGGGAGGAGAAGGCGGAAATGGAGATGGAGAATGCCGCTAAGCTGCAAGCTGCAAGCTGTGTTTTGCCTCGAGAATTCGACATTCGACATTCGCCCACGAGCCAAGGAAGAGCATATCAAGACTCTGGAAGAGAGCCACGCAAGGTACCTCCAGGGGCAGCAAGAGTCCTTTGACCAGAAGATGATTGTTGAGGAGAGGGTTGGCGAGCTGGAAGGGTGAAAGAATCTGGAATGCCGTGCCAGGATCAACGTTACAAGAAGCTCGAGGCGGATTTGGCCACGCACTTAGTGAGTGTGTGAAAGTAACAGTCTCGCAGCCTTCAATTGTGATTAATCTGAATGGAAATGCTGGACTGCTAGACAAGCTCGGGGGCGATCATCATCCATGTAGGCCACTCAATGCCCACAAGCCAGCGAGAGTGCTTAAGGAGCGCGAAAAGCAGGAATGGGAAGCTCAACACTCGGCTCTCTTGACAGAGCATGCGGGCGTCATTGAGCAGATGAAGACTAGCTGCATTTGCGGCACAAGTTGCTTTACCCTGGCACTACGTCCAGTTTACTGGCATTGCAAGGGCAGACAACAGCCCGTGCAAGCATCGAAACGAGACCATGTAGTCTTTGCAATGTGTGAGCGAAAGCATCTATTGGAAGGGCGGCTTGTCTCAGGAAGCAAGATGCCGAGAAGATCCAGAGGGTGAACAGAGAGACCATGGACAGGCCCTGGGTTCCGATGTTGAAGCGTCCTGAAGGCACTTACCTTCGCTGGCCGTGCCTCAAAAAGGAAGTGCATTTCTCATCCTGACCATGACAGGATCATCAAGGAAAAGGAAATGGCTTTCAAGCACCATCAGGCCATGCCCTGTTACTTTTTTTCTTGGCTCATGGTGAAATCTCGTCGAGGAGACACTGGCACAGCTGGAGCAAGATGCCGATAGAGAGATTGAAGAGCTGAAAGAGATGCACCCTGGCAGTGCAAGTGCAAGCAGTGTAGGCAGCGTAGTCAGTGTAGGCAGCGTAGGCAGCGTAGGCAGCGTAGGCCATCGGTTCTGTGCTTTGCTGCCACAGTTTGTGTCGAAGGTATGAGCAGAAGCTGGCACAGGAAAAGGATGACAAAGTCAGACTCCGTGGTCAAGCGGGCATCCACCAAAAGCACCACCATGACCTGAAGCTGAGTCGCAATTTGGGCATTGCGGTGCTTTGTCAAGTTGAGATCATGTTTGGCACGTGTTTTAAATTGATGCGGGAGCTTTGAGGAACACAGAGATGATGAAAAAAGAAGAGGAGGTCAAAACGAAGGCTGAAGAGAGCCGAAAGGCGGAAGAGAAGATCCAAGGATTGGTAAAGGACTGGCTTCCGAAACGCCGTTTGCAAGCTGCTTTTGCCTTCGCGTTGCGAGCTGCTTTTTTGACTGCGGACTGGAAGCATCTCGAGGACAAAGACTCCAACGAGAAGGAGATCAAAGAGCGCGACAAGACCATCGCTGACAAGGAGCAGAGAATTTTCGACCTCAAGAAGCAGAACCTCGGCTGCAGGGCTGAGGCCTGCCAGCCCAAGCCATGGGCCATGGGTATGGGGCGGAGTCAGGCTGGCCTGAGCTCTAAGGAATCAGGAGTTGGAGAAGTTCCGCTTCGAGACTTGGTAAAGGCTTTCAAGGGGCTCACTGGGTTCATGCCCGGGCAAGCCACGTATCACTGGGCGGCATGACAAGATCCGGGATAAGGTGCTGGACTACAAGATCCGGGAGCTCAAAGCGCAGATCGATCCAAAGACCGCAGACATTGCCTCGATGAAGACTCAGACGCAGGCCATGGAAGACGAGCTCAATGACTACAAGCGTGACCTGGCAAGCATTGCTCTGTGGCCTTCTCGGCCATCCGTTCCTGCACAGGCAAAAACAAGCAGCTCGTCCCGGGCTCAGCGCGCCAGGTTTAGAGAGAGAGACAGACTTCAACGCGACGAGACGGGAAAAAAGTGGTGGAAAACAAGATTGGCGCGCGAACACTGCAAGGCACTTCAGATCTCCCAGCTGCAGATGAAGCAGCGAGCACTGCAAGAGGTTTGGGGGTGTGGGGTGGGCTGTCTGTGGTTTGCCTGGAGTTAAAGGGCCGGAGTCGCGCCAATGGACAACAAGCCGAAGGTTGATTGACACACCGTATGACGCTTCAGGAGATCAAAGCACAAAAGAGGACTGACCTTGGGCGAAACACTAGCAGAACGCAAGATGCTCGCATTCATTGCAAGTCAATTTGCTGTGCTGACTTGTCACTCTGGGGGCTACTGCAGTTCCACAGCTGTCACAGCAACCTCCCCGCATCTTGACGGAAAGAGAAGCAGCCCTCACACCATGCTGCATATGAGTCATATGATCAGGTACTGGCCGCAAACATCGTCACTCGTTTGGGATTCGGCAGGAAGCTTCGAGACGACTTGGCCCTCATCAAGCGCTTCAAGCTCGATTTGAGCGATTGACACTTGACATGGCGAAGGGGCAAAGGGGCGCAGGGCCGCAGGGGCGAAGGGGCGAAGGGGCAACGGGGCGAAGGCTTCCGGGAAGATGCGTCCGGATTTGACTCTCACTCCGAGGCATGGAGACCATTGCCGAGCCCAAGGCCTTGAAGGAGAGCGTCACGGCGCTCTACCGGAAGTATGTCCAGGGCGGCGCCAAGAGACAGGACTTGGATACGGACATGCAGAAGGAGTACAACAGGCCAGCCATAGAGCATATGGAGCTTGCTTTGTCTCGTTTGCATCTCGTTTGTTTCGTGCTTGTCTCTCTCTCTCTCTCACTCTCACTGTGTTCATCTTTCTATCTTTCTATGCTTGTTCGAGGCAGCGCGACTATTTGGAGAAGTCCGTAGATTCCCTGAAGCGGAAGCTGGAGAAGGATAGCCAGGCCCACCGCATCGACAACATGCGGATTATGCAGGCGCGCTCCGGGCACGGAAGGCGGGATTTCGTGGCAGCGTGCGAGCGGGCAGGAGAACGTGTCCCTGATACGAGAGATCAATGACCTACGGCGCGAGATCAACAACCTGAAGCATGAGCGACAAGCGCAGGAGTCTCTAGAGGAATGCCTTCCAGGGATGGGAGCACAGAGTCAGCCAGAGTCAGCCAGGAGCTGGCAAATATGGGCAGCATGCAGAGCAACCGAGCCGACTTGGAGCGCTGACAGCTGAGCTTTTTCCGGAGAGTTCTGCCTGCACGCGACTTGCTTGATTACGTGCGTGGCTAAGGGGAGCTGGACATGCAGAAGGAGGAGATGGAGGCACCAGTTACTTTCCCTCCGCCAGATTTGGAGACACGTGTGGTGGCCAACTCCAGGAGCTCACCAAGCAGCTGAAGGATTTGGAGCAGTGACATGTGCAACCGGCAAGGGCGCTCGTGGCACAGTAGACCAATCTTGAGAACCACAGCGCCTTTCCCAATACACGTGAGCCGCGGCGTGCTTGCCGACCCGATCCAAGAGTGTCAGGGCAAAAAAAATTGCCCGCCTTCAAGGAAGGCTCACGCGGCGATTCGAGCGTTTCACTTTCAGTTTCACCCCGATGCCACTCGAATGATTAGATGATTAGATGATTAGATCAGACTTCTTATGTTTCTTGTGTCATCCGAGCGGGTTTGGGCTGGTGCTAGTGCCTCCCTGAACCCAGGGCTCCGACTGGGCGTAATAGCTCGTGGGATGCCCCGCGCTGTGCAGGTTAGAAACTAGGCACAATGAGTTTCCAGAGCTTCTCATTTCTGCTTCGTTGGCCGTGCTGATTGCTAACGCTACGCTAACGTCGCTAGGCCTTTTCAAGGTCTACAAGAGCGGGGCTCGGCAGGCGTGGGAGGCCGGCGGGGCCGCTTGACAGTGCGGCAGCTGTGCCAGACTGGCTGTAGGATGTGCCGCGAGCCTGGCAGACTCGCATGAACTTTCCCGAGTTCGTGTCTCAGACGCACCGTGGCAACTACGGGCCGATGCTGGATTCATGCAGATCCCACGGTTTCCGAGGTTCGCGCACTGGATGCAGGAGCAGGCCATCTCCAGATCGCGCGGGTTCGCTGTCTCGGAGCGGTGCCTTTTCGATGCGAGGGCCCAAGGGTGCAGAAATGCGCCTGTCATGCGAGTCAGCGCCCAAGACCTGAGGCTTTGGACCTCAACGGCATCGGAACGGTGACTTTGCAGGCAGCGGGTGGTTGGAGTATCAGTGTCCTTAGCGCGACTGCCTAGGAGTTCAAGTTTCTGGACCATTGGGCGCACAAGCGGCTCAAGAAGCCGTTGCCAGAGGAAGTCTGGCGCTTCCATCTCTCATGCGACTGTTGTTTGCATGGAGTTGATTTGCATGGCCTTGGCGTGTTCGCAGCTTCGGCCCTGGGTGCCTGGAGGCTTCCATGGGAACACGGGGGACGTATGGCATGGCGTGGTTGGTCCGGGACGGAGGTGGGCAAATTTGTCGCCAAGTTCTGCGACCTTCCTGAGTACACGGCTGCATTGTCCCAGATCCCAGGGGACACTTTGCAGCAGCTTCTGGAAGCCAACATGCTTCGCAAGGGCTTGGCGAGGGCAGGGGTGCGGGACGCGGACCACCAGAGCCGCATCTGCAAGGCCGTGCTGCAGCTGGAGTCTTGGAGCCCTGAGGAGCTGGCTGCCTGGGCCAAAGACCCGAGCCCTCGCCACTTCCGGGCGCCGCCGCCCAAGAAGCGGCCAGGCCGGCGGCCGTACCTGCGGGCCGCGCACGTGGCACTCGGGGCGTCGCTCGCGCCCCGCAAGCAGAGCCTCACAGAGGCGAGTCTGCAGCGGAGCTCCCAGGTCTCAGGGCACGAGGCCAACGGCTCCCAGGGCCGAAGGACCCCGCGGCTCTACGACAAGAGCCAGATCTTGGAGGAACGGCTCAAGGAGGAGCTGGAGCAACTCCATCTCCTGAACCCTCCGGCACTGGACCTGGACGTGCAGCTGCGCTCCCGGGTGGCGCGCTCTGTCCTGGAGTACGAGGCCATGCGGGACAGCGACTCCCCGCCCCCTGGCATAGTCACGGGCCTGCGTGGGCTCCAGCAGTTGAAGGAGGAGGAGGAGGGCGCAGCCACCCGGATCCAGGCCAAGTTCCGGCAGAAGAAGGCCAACGAGGAGGTGCAGAAGCTGCAGCAGCAGAGAGAAGAGGAGAGCCAA